TGTATAAATTATTGGGTGGTCTGTGTTCTCATTGAGTATAAACCTAAGAGGAGAATACAGTGACTCTGGGCCCTCCTCCCTCTTTGTGGGAACCAGGAATCAAACGAGGGCCCCACACATTCCATGAAGCACTGGATCACGGAGCTACACCACAGCCAAAATCCACTTCAGCAAGGCACTTTTCTTTATTGCACTGAGGAATGAACCAAGGGCCTTGCACTTCTTAAACACACGCTCTACCCCTGAGCTCAAACTTTTTTTTTATAGTACCAGGGATCAAACTCATGATCTCACACTTGCCAGGCAGACGTTTATGCCACTGAGCTAAATCCTAGCCCTGAGCGTCAAACTTTTAACACTTTTGAGGAACTGCCAAATTGTCTTTCAGGAGCAGCACCGTCTTATAGTCCCTATAGACACATCTGACATTTCCAATTGTCCGAATTCTCTCCAGTACTGTGACCATGCCTCTTTGGCTTATGGCCGTCTTATTGAGCGAGAAGCACTCTCTTTTTCTGACTTGCATTTCTCTGTTGGCAGTTAATCAGAAGCATCTTTTCATGTGTCTATGGGCCACTTGAATATCCTCTTTGGAGAAGTGTCTAACCAGATCTACTGCTTTTTGTTGTTGTTTGTTTGGGTTTGTTTGTTTGTTTTGAGAGAGTCCACGCTGGCCTTGAACTTGAAGTGATCTTTCTGCCTCAGCCTCCCAAAGTGCTGGGATTACAGGCATGTGTCACCATACCCAGCTAGTATTGTTCACTTTAAATTTCTAATTTTTAAATTAAATTATTAGAGCTTCTTAGATAATCTAGATTCAAGTCGTGTATCAGTTACACAATTTACAAATATTTTCACTCATCCTATGAGTGAGCTTTTCATTTTTTCTGATATGTATTTTTTTAAAACACAAATGGTAAAGTTAACTTTTTCTTTTGTTCTAATGCTTTTGGTATTATGTCTAAGAAGCTTCTGCTTAACTCACACTCCTATATTTTTCTCCTTGGACTTTTATATTTTTAGGGCTTACATTTCAGTCTTTGATATATTTAAACTTAATTTGGATACATGACCGGTGACTTCATTCTTTTACACATGGGTATCAGTTATTTCATCACCATTTCTTGGAAAGACTATTTCTTTAAATCACTGAATTATTTCTGGCTCCTGTGTTGAAAATCAGTTGACCAGAGCATGTTTATTCCCAGGCTCTCAATTCTGTGCCATTGATGTATGTGCCCACCTATTGCCAGTACCATACTGTAGTGCAATTACTGTAATTTTATAGTGACATTTGAAATTGGAAAGTACAAGCTTTCCAACTTTGTTCTTGTTCCAAAATCATGTTGGCTATTCTGGGTTCCTTGAATTTCTATGACTTTTAGTGTAGGCTTGACAATTCACGCAAAAATATTAGCTATGATTTTGATGGAGACTGTGCTGAATCCATAAATTTGAGGGCTGCTACCATCTATAATATTAAGTTTTCTGGTCTCTGAAGTTGAGATGCCTTTCCATTTATTTTTTGCTTTAATTTCTTTCAAATATGTTGCTTAGGATTCTGAACAGAAGTTTTACATATCTCTTTGTAAGTCCATTGCTAAGTATTTTACTTTTTGATGCTATTTTAAAAAATTACGTCAGTTTATAAGACCTATTTTTGACATTTGTGAATTCAAGATGTATCTTACAACCATAAGCATTTTAGTACGATGTCATAAATCATTTGGCAGTATTTTCCTTATCTTAGTAGACATAAATATGACTTACAACCAATGGCTTCTTAGATTTAGTACAATATGGTATTAAATGTAAAATGTCTATGAAACATCAAAATGGAAACAAAGGTAGGGATTTGGCCAAGCGAATACAGAAATCAGAACAGAAGTGAGACAAGAGATAAAGATGTGAGGTCATCTGCAATTTGATATGTAAATCCATAATGATAAATAAGATTTTTGCTTTAAAGAAAAAAAAAGCATAAAGAAGATAAGAGGAAATCCTAACAAATACAAGTTAAGTAAAAGAGGAAAAATCAGCAAAGGGAAACATTTTTTTAAGTTTATTATTGTTATCATTGATCTTATTCACTAGTTCTACAGGGACTGGATCTTGTCTCTTGTTTTCTGATAAACCATCTAGCAGAGCTCTTTACTATCTTTATATACTAAACTACATACCACAGATAAAATGGAAAAAGTCATTCAGAATAGCCTATTTGGGAAATAATATATTGATTTTTTCACCAGCTCTTTCACCCTGGAAAATCTTACATAAATACAGATAAATAAACCTTTCACATCTTCAGCAAACTGTTTTAATCCGATTGTAAGTTTGGATAGAAAATAGGAAAGTGATTATTGCATATTAACCTAGAGAAGTTGTCCAAAGTCAGAAGAGGAAAAATTACAGTAGAGTACTGTAGCATTCACATTTAAAACCAGAAATGTTCACAAAACTCCTTGTAAGGAGCATGTATATCATTTGCTGCCACATTTCTACAACACAAGCAGTACACCAGCTAAAGCTATTTCATTTGCCTTTCATTTACTGTTTGTCACTTTACAGATGTTGAATCTTACCCATTTTTTTTTTTTTTTCTATTTCAAAGACCCAACCATCCCAAAATGTTACCATTACACCATACTCTAAATGGTTCTTAACCAAAGGAGACTTGGGCCTCCAGGGAATGGCTGACAACATCTGAACACCTTTCTTTAATTGTCACAACTGGAAATGAGAAGCTACTGGCATCAAACAACTGAAAGGAAGAGCTATTGCTGAACACTCTACAATCCCTAGGACAGACCCCCCAAAGCAAAGCATCATCTAGTTCAAATCCCAGCAATACTGAGGTTCAGAAATCCTAAGAAGATAAATTTGTATGTGCAGTGTGTATGAATTTTTGGAGAGCAGTCTAGCTTTTCCCAAACTGTCAAAGGAAATGACACAAAAATGTAAACACTGCTCTTCATGGACATCTCATTTTGGTCAAGATTTTTAAAAATGACCTATTGATTCAATTTCACAGCAGAGGTCACCTAATAGTTAAGGCCTTCCTTTGTCAGCCAGATTTCACTGTCCCTTTCCTCTGTCCTTAGTTCTTCCAAAGACCTCATCAAGGGATCAACACAATTCCAAAGACCTTCACCAGCAGGATTAACACAACAATTATGGTTATGGTGACTAGTAATGATTAAGCTTCAACTTTGTGACGTCAATTTTTAAAACTTAACTCTTTTTAGAAACTATTTGGTCAATATTCATTTGTTCATTGCCTACCATGCTTAACACCCTGGCAGACACTGGGCATTTGGCAAAGAAAATGAGCTTACAACCTAGTACAGGAGAGACATTAACAAAATTTAAGTATGTAATTTAAGCTGCAATGGGAGAGTGAAAAACTTAAAGCAGCTGAAATGAGAATGAGGAGGAGGACTGCTCACCCAGGTAACTGTACATGCCATATTTCATCCAGTATTTGATCCCACCCAAATGCAACTTGGCTAATCTGAACAATTCCAACAACTGCATCCCAGCCCAGGTAATTTGGGATATACTCTTAATTACTTGCTGGGTGTGGACAGACAAGACAGAGGTTATTGGCCTGGCTAAGAGAAAGTGCAAGAGAAAAGCTGAAGAATAAAACCGATGTCTGAAATACTGATTCTAACTAATTCAGTACGACAATCACCAGCCCTTCTGATAGGATATAAGTTCGCTGCTGTGGCCTGTAAGAAAATGAACTCTTTCTTGAAGATGTTAGAAAGATAATATATTATTCGCAGGCAGCCTAAACCGGCCAGAGGCCCGCGCAGCAATTTTTAATGGAATGTCAGCTTAATTAAAATCTCGACTTCACTGAAAACCTCCGGCTAGTGAAATAACCCAGGTCCCCGGAGGTGATGCAAAGGGCAGCTGGTGAGCGAACAAAGGCCGCGCGGCCCGGGCCTCCATGGGGACGGCGGCCGTGGGTGCCAGAGCCGGCGGCTGCCGACCCCAGCCGCAGGGCCTCGAGCGCCGGGCGCGGGTGCGCAGGCAGGAGGCAGGAGGTAGATGGGGCGGACCGCGGGGGCAGAGGTCTGGCCCAGTAAGTCGATGACTGTGGGACAATCGTAAGACAAATCACACGGCCGCTAAGGCGAGGACAGCCGCCGCCAGGACAGCACGTGGGAAAGAAGGAGAGCTGGGGACACAGGGCGACGTCCCCAGCAGCAGTCTCCGCTGGCCCCGCCCCTCACGCTTATGTAATGGGGTCGCACTCCCATTGGTCCGCGCGACCGGAAAGGCACTGGCACGCAGGGTGGGCAGGGATCGCCGCAGGAAGGTGAAGGGGCGGGACTGCGCGGCGCAGGCAGCGCTGAGGCGGCTGGGAACGCGGCGCGGCGTGCTCGCGCACGAGGCGGGGCGGCCGGCCTGAGGCTCCGGCGGTGGTGGCGGCGGCAGCGGCGGCGGCGGCGGTCGCGCGCGACGGTGGCAGCGGGTGTGCGAGTCGCGGGCTGTTGTGCTCTCGGCGGTTCTCTTTCCCCTTCTCGCGGGTGAAGGAGGCCGAAGCGGTGCTGGGCGCTCACCCCTTCCTTCTTCCGTGACCTCTCGGTCATCTGGCGCTGCGCTGCCCTCCCGACGCAAGACTGTCCCGGCCCGGGTGAGCGGCGGGCTGCGAGGACCTCCCGGGCCCCGGAAGCGGGGTGGAGGGCGGCTGGCGGGAGGGCGAAGTGGAGCGGGCCGCCCGCCGGGTCCTGCAGGTGGCCGGGTGCGGCAGGTCACCTCGCCAGCTGGTGGCTGCTGCCGGCCGGTGTTGAAGGCCAGAGGGGCCGGGTCGGAGAACGGTGGGCGCAGCGGGGCCCCAGGGCAGGAGCCGGAGGGCTCCCGGGGCAGGAGGCACCTCGGGCTGCGGCCCGGTCGTGGCGGGGTCGGTGCTTCCGCGAACCCGCCTTTAGAAGTTGGGGTCAAGATGCGTAGCCCCGCCTGGGCCGCTTGCTTTCTGGTGGTTACAGAGAGGAGAGGAGTCTACTTCCTGGATCCCAAATCTTTGTTTTGGTCGTAAAAAGGGTTTAAAGGCAGAGTTTTCTTGTGGCCTCCGGTGAGAGCTCCTGGTTTTAGAACTCATTCCTTCGGCTGCTTCCTTCCTTGAGCCCCCTCGGAAAGCCACCACCGAGTCATAGTGAAAACCAGCATGTAGGTATTTGTGGATGACTCTTGCCCTTCAGTTTGTCGCTTTTATTCAAGAAGCGGTTGTGTATGGTTTTTGTAGAAAATTCGGTTGGCTTCAGAGCAAGTCCTAAGTTGAGCTGTCCAAAGCAGGTGGCTTGTTCGTTTGCATTTCTACTTTCGGAAAGGAAATCAATGCAGTGTGCAGTCAGAAATTGGGGGCCTACCCCAAGCTGTTACCCTGTCACATTTCCTTTATCTGCTGCCTTACAGTTATTAAAGCTCTTAGAACTTTCTTAATACTGTTGTTAGTGACATTGGGTTCAGCTTACCATGCAGTAATACGTTTAGCAACTTTACCTTGTATAAATCACAGGATGAAAATCTTACCCAACTAGTTGACAAGTTCTAGGTAACAAGCTTATGGGATTCGGGGTCTGTCTTTGTATTCGGGGGGGTTTGTGTGTATAACTAAGATTTTAATTGAAAAAAAGTGTTAGTTTGATATAACTTAAGATCTAAAGCGGCGCATTAACATAAATTTAACGTAATTTATACATTAGAAGTTAAGATGCATCAAAATACTGAAGCTAACAAAGTTCTAATACTGAGACATTCAGCCATTAAGAATGTACAGGAACATTTGTATACACTTAGGATTGAATGCCTGTCATCATCCAGATATGTTTAAATGTACTTTTCAAAAAATGCCATTTAGCTTAGAATTAATGTGGTAGGTTTTAAAAAATAAAAGTAGAAGCTTAGCTTTAAGGACTACCACAGATGGTAATATTTACCATCCTTAGGTAGGGATGGTGTTCTTATATTACACTAGCATACTAAACAGTTTTGTAATTGGTAAGATACCGACTTTCTAGAAAAGCATTGGTCTTCTGTATTTTATCTTCCAGTTTATTGTTTAATGTTAGAACTTGCCCAATTAATGCATTTACTTAGTAGTTTCGTTTGTTTAGAGAGGACCTCTGTTTCTGTTAAATACTTTGACCTTACATATTATATACATTATATGTTTAGAGTTCCAATAAAATGCCAGCAAGCATCGTTTCCTAGTGAAATTGATGTCATGCTTCGTGTCCTGCAATGCTTTAAAAATTTTAAATTTAATTACAGTGCCACTCAAATTTTTACGTAGGAATTCTGCTTTGGATCCTTTTTGAATATATATACGCTACTTCATGAATAAGTTTAGCTTGTATTGTTTAATAAGGTCCTTAATGGGAACCAAAAGTAACTTTTTGGTGACCTGCTTAACTCATTCATGTTGTCTTCAGATAATCCATAATAAAAACTTGTACCTTTCAGTTTGTCCCTCAACAGGGAACTAATTCAGTCTTTCATAGCTAGTGAAGTCTAGCAAAAACAAATTTTTTAGGGAAACGTAAAATAACATAGTGTTTCATATGGAACCTAAGTATTTAAGAGAGTAGCTCCTCTGCTCCAATGATCTCCTTTTAGGATTAGTTGACAGCTCTTGTTTCTCTTAAAATTGAATGTGTCCGAAGTTACAACAGTGAACACTAGAAAGGAAAAATAGCTTTGCAAGATAACCAAGTAAGTGATAGGGGACTAAATTTTTTTTTTTTAGTTGAAAGTTACATGTAGTAAGCAATCAGATATGTAGCTTAATGACTTTTTTTCATGTTACCTGGGGATTGAACCCCAGGCCTTTACACTGAGCTACATCCCTAGTCCTTTTATTTTTTAAACTTTGAGTTGATCTCACTAAATATCTTAGACTGGCATTGAACTTGTGATCCTTTTGCCTCAGCCTTCAAGAGTGCTGGACTTCTAGGAGAGTGCCACAATGCTCTGCTAGCTCAATGAACTGTTACAAATAAACACACCTGTGTAACCTCTTACCCAGTTCAGTAATTAAACCATTACCAGCTCCCTAGAGATCCCCCTCATGTCCTCTCTTTCCAGCTGTTCCTGAGGAGACTATATTGTTTTCCTTTGGTTTACTGTTTCTTCTCTGTTCTTTTTGCATTGTACTGTGGGATTCAACCCAAAGCCTAGCAGCATGCTAACCAAGGTGTTCTACCACTGAGCCAGTCCCCTTACCCCTGATTTGCCTACAGTATTTTGAATTTTATACAATGTATATTATTTTTGGAATAGGTACTATTGAACATTCTTGGTGTACATGTATTTCTGTTACGTTTCTGTTGACTATGTGCAGAGAAAAATTGCAGGTCATAGAGTAGAGAGTTACCATGTTTCCACAGTGGTTGTGTCAGTTTATACCTTAGTAGTGTTGTTTGTGAGAATTCAAAAACATGTATATTCCCTAACATTTTTGTAAAATTTAAGGTTCAAAGCTGAGATTGTTTCTGTGCTTAGAATCATCTAGTAGAGTAAATAATGCTTCATCTTCTGTCTTCAGATATGGCTCGCGGACAGCAGAAGATTCAGTCTCAGCAGAAAAATGCCAAAAAGCAGGCTGGACAAAAGAAGAAGCAAGGGCATGATCAAAAGGCTGCTGCCAAAGCTGCCTTAATATACACCTGCACTGTCTGTAGGGTAAGGGGACTTGAAAGATATAGCTTCCTTGGGGGTAGTTCTTTCTCTCTAAGTTGGTTCGTATAGGTGAAAATTTCATAATGATGGAAAAATAGTTGATTTATTTGATAGAGTTTTTTGGGGAGGAGAGTGATGCTGGGAGTCAAACATGGCCTCGTCGTACATGGTAGGCAAGTGCTCTACTCCTGAGTTACACGCGCAACCCCTGAAATAGAGTAGACAGCTGGTTAAGAATCCGTCTTCATTTGCACATTCAGCATACATTTTGCATGACTTCTGTGGCCAGACACATTTCTCTAGGATCCACCGGAAAGATGGAACAAAACAAAGTCCCTTTCTATGTAAAGAATAAAGATTTTCTCAATAAGGACATATAATTCACTTTAAACTCCGTAACGACATCAGATTTATAATCTAGTTTAAAGCTGACCAAACTTTGTACTGTGCCGTTGAATCCATCGATGATTATATAATGCCCACCCTTCACTAAATCCATAGTTGGAACATAATAAAACCACAGAGATATTTATGTTGAGGACTCTGTACTAAATTAATATGTTTTATAGATTTAAAGACTAGGCTAACAACTACTGCATGGGCCTACCAAACCAGGCACCAACCCAGATGTTTTACATATATCTGTTTAATTTGCATAACAACTTTATGAGTTACACTTTTATTTTCATTGTACAAGAGAGTGAACTCAGTTATGAGAAATTTAAGTATGTCATCCAGCTAGTAAAGTAAAAGGGCCGGGATCTAAACCCAGGGATTGCAGCTCCAGAGTCTGCACTGCCTGTCAAGTCTTTCTCAAATCTTAAATCAGGCTGTTTTTGCATGTTTGTGCTGGCTCACTACTGCCATTGATGTCAAAGACTGGAAGTGCCAAAGGACAAGGCAGTGGAGTCGGTCCATACTTGTAAACACACATTGTTTTCAAGCCTCCTTGCTTGAATAGGGTTGATGGTGTGAGTGATAAGGCGAGATTCTTGGACTGAAGTGTGTCATCATCAGTCACCAATGAAATAGAAGTTCCTAACTGTACAAAAGTTCTCATTGAGAGGGAGAATCTGTTACATGAGCTGTGTTACTCAGGTGAGCATTGATACACTAAAAATAATGAAACTGAGCAGCTTGTGATTCTATTCAGAAAGAGGATGAAAATAAATTTCACAAGGTTGGTGATGAAGAAATAATTTGGCCTAAAAGTATAAGGATAACTCACATTTAGAAACTTACAGCCAGACTCTTTAATTCATATTGGCATAATTGAACCTGTTGAAAAATAAAAGTCTGTCTGAGGGAAGCCATTACTGTATACAGTAGTGTGTTACTTGAGAACTGAAGTACCTAGTACTGGGTTAAAACATCATTCTTAGACAAGTAAACTCTGGGTTTTAGTTTTCCTGCTTGTGTAAAATGAGGACAGTAGGTGCAAACTGAAGGTCCTGTGAGAATTAAGGTAACAAGCTTAACCAAATGAGGAAGTGTTCTTATTGTTTGTTCTTAATGAGATAAAATATTCTCTTTGTATGCAAAATGGGAGAATGCTACGAATTTTTCATGAAGTTCCTCTTCATATGCCAGCAGTTATAGGAACCTAAAGACTTGTGTTTAAGATTTTATGTTTAAGAACTGACCTTTTTTTGGTGGTTTTTTTTTTTTCTGCACAATTTTTAGACACAAATGCCAGACCCTAAGACCTTCAAGCAGCACTTTGAGAGCAAGCATCCTAAGACCCCACTTCCTCCAGAATTGGCTGATGTGCAAGCATAAAGTTGTTTACAGGTAACTAACTTTTTTTCTATAGGTCTTTTAATGTCATATTTGAATATTGGAGCAAAACTATCCTCTAACTGAAGTTAAAGACTTGCCAGCTGCAAGGAAATGGTTACTTCAAATGCACTTTTTAACTTCCTCCAGAAGTGATGTAGACCAATTTCCTGAGCACGGTTTTATAGTGTTTTACTCACAGTGCCTAGCAGAACTTCTAAGTATTAAAATATAGATTAAAATGTAGGTGTGCAGACTGACTTGATAGTCTTTCATCTTAAACATTTGAAATGCATATAGTAGCTTCACTTGTAACGATTGCATTCACTGAAGTGTTTCCTTGTGTTTTGTAGGTGAATTCATGACACCTTTGACTCTTCTACTGTCTCAGACCTTAGGTAACAAACCTGCAGCTGCTTTTCTAACAAACTGTTGATTAGCAAAAATAAAGGGGCTACAGAAACACTCATTTTTATGCTGTTCCCTTTTGGGCTTCATGCAAAGACAATTCTGTGTAAATGTACAGTTGACTCTGATTTGGAAATCCAAAAATCAGTCCATCCTTGTTATAAAAAATTTTTTTACAATTGTAATTATATTGATGTTCATATCGTGTAAAATAACTCATTTAATAAAGTAGTACTTTGATTTTACAACATCAGAGGATAAATGGTTCTAGAAATTCTGTTCTGACTTTCCTTATCATTTACCTTATAAAACTAATGACTTCATCAGCTAGAATTGCAAGTGCAATTCTTAAAACCCTTTTTCAGCTCAGTGGCAGGTTCGTTACACCTAAGGGCAGACTCATTCATCAAAAATTGCGCGCAGCTGATGAGCTAGGTGAAGAATGACATCTGCTGCTTGATGCATTGCAATTGTGTGTCATTGCCCCCTCTGTCTCCTGTGTTTGAAGTTGGAATATTGAAACTTGCTATGTAAACTGGCTGTATCCTAGAGATAACTAATCAGTCCATAAGAGGGACCGGATTGTCAGTGAGCTCTGCTGACAGATTAGGTTCTGAAGTATGTGCTGTAATAAAATAATCGTTAGGCCTATTATTAAACACAAAATATGATAGAAGAATTGTGAACTGGTAAACATCAATCTTTTAGAAATTACACTAAATTCTTTGGAATCAAAGAAATTGAAACATTTAAAAGAATTTTTGGAAGTTATTATTTTGCCAATTTTATGAATGGGTTCTTTGCATTAACAAGATTTTAATGACCCGTGGCTGGTTATTTCCCAGAATACTCCTTTTCTAATTCTTGGTTTTAGGAATTTACTTTGTGCTGGTTCCTAAAACCACAGACTACATGTACAGTATGACTTCCATATGAACTAGAAAAATATTATAGGTGATGTTCACGTTCTTTTGGATCTAGAGATGGGGAAGCAGTTCTCTTCAGCTGAAAGACGTAAATTCCAATTAAAGACTAATTTTAGCATTTTTCAATTAAGGTTTGTCAACTATTGTACAAGTGAAACTGCTGTAACTCATTTAAATTTTAAGATTAACATGATAGGAAGAACACTGAAACATTTACTGATAAATGCTTAGAGCCACATACCTGATGCTGTGGGTTACAAAATGCGTTCCCTCTTCTGCTGTAACTCATCACTGCCTTTGTTTTGTAACTGCATATTGTGCTCACTTTGTCTCCACTAGAAGTTTAAATATTTGCAAGGAAAGTCTGCAGTGCTGTTAGTTTCTTAGGATTCCTATTCTTAGACCCTTGTTTTAAAATACAGTCCTTTCATTTCATGTATTTAATTTCCTAAGTTTCAGACTTAATACCTGTTTTCTAATATGTTGATTACCAGAACATTAGAATTTTACCTAATTTCCTGTGGATGGTACAGAAGTTCTGGTTAAATTACAGTTTAAAAGTTTTTGGAAGTTCTTTGAGCATATGTATGTTTATTTTTAGTGACAGATTATTTAAACCCCATTCATGAATCTTGGATTTTTTTCTTTTGCTTTACTGACTGTAATTCACAATAAAAGCTTTTTGTTCTTGTATTTGACCTTTTTATAAGCAACTGAAGACACCATATTTGATTCTGTATCTCTGTGGTAGGGAAATAGTGGATTGACCTTGCATCAGATATTCTTAATATGGGGATTGTGAGTACAATCCTGCATTTATCGTGTTTGAGTTAAATTTGCTATAAAGAGAAAATTACAACTCTTAAACATGTTATTTCATTTGAAGATTCTTTAATAGATCATAGCAAAGTTTGTTTTAGAACTGCTGTGGTGTCTTCAAAAACTTGATATAATGCAGAGAGAATTGGTCCACCTGTATTCTGTATTTGCATTAGTTGCCAAAAAGAATGGGGTTACGATTAAGCTTGTTTCCATTCTATTCATGTGGATACACATCCCCATGTTTAACTGACACTGGGGCCTCAGTTGTGTGCTGTAATGTAAATTAAAGAAGATATTAAAGAAAACCAAACTAGTCTAATTTCTTCTATTTTTTTAAAGAGGTTTTTATGTTGCCTCTAACTTTTTTTTCCCCTCAACTTAGAATTGTCTATAGTGTAGCTAAGTAGTCTAAGGGTGACAAGAGATTTCCTTCATTTTTCATTGTTTTCCTTGCATTCTGTGTCTATTTTGTGTCTGTAGAATACTTGAAATGAAGCGGGGCGGAGTCTGTCATTCTGAAACCTGGCTGTATAAGTTTAATGGGAGGTGTAAGGCGGAAGTAATTGGCTGTTAACCTAACACCAAAACAAAAAATGCTTAGGCCAGTTAGTTGAGCTATATGATTGTATCCTTATAACTTTGACTGATTGAAGCTAATACTTTTGGATTTATATTAAAGGAATTACATAGACAATCATAACAATTGAGACCTAAAATATAGCAAGAATAAGGTAAACTTAACCAGTGTTGCTGTTTTATATCTCACACCCTTGTTTTTCATTTTTAATATCAGGAACATACTGTGCTTGTATTTAAATGGCTAATGTAAAGGCCTTTTTCTATAAGATAGTGGTAAATCACAGTCTAAACTAACTGAACTCTTTAAACTCATTTAAACTAAGTCTAAGTTAATACAATTGTACCAGTTTAGCATTTTTTGTTTCTTTTGGTATCTTTTTTAAGAATGTATAACAGTGAAGAGTGACACTACGGAGTCATCGTGTTTACTGTGACTTTGCTTTCTGAAATAGTACAGGCTAGCTTTTAGTGTAAAAATTTCAAAAAACTTGTAAACAGCTTTCAGTGGACAGGTTTAATAAAGCATCTATGTACTTGGCTGAAAAAATAGATGTTTTATTAATAAAAGCTTATCTTGTCAAAAGCTTATCTGAAAACATCTTATTTTAAATATTCTTTTGCTATTTCTGTATTACCCTTTTTTAAGGCAGACGTTCTTTAACTTGTTTCTTGTTTATAGTATGACTCGAAATTTAAAATCTGTATTTACAGACAGACTTGAGTCATTCATTCACTTACTCATTTTGTAGTACTTGGGATTGAACTCTGAGGCTTTTACACTGAGCTACATCCCCGGCTGTTTTGGGATTTTTTCTTATTTTGAGACAAGGTCTTGCTAAGTTGCCCAGGCTGGGCTCTCTGATGTGCAGTCATTTTATTTATTTAAATCAGTGTTCTGGTAAATCATATATACACTGTAAAATTTAGTTTTATTATAAATATAAACTTGAATTTTAGTGTAATGATATATAGAAGTAGTACTTATTTAAGCTTTACTATAAAAAAAAGTTATGAAATTTAAGTTTTTGTCATTGAAATAAAATCGGCATGCAGTTCAATGGGATGGGTGCCCAAAGGGAGAAAATGATCTGGCAAAGTCTGCTTGGAGGTGTCACAAAGTCTGCTTGGAGATGGTGCTTCCAAACACTGAAGCCTGTCTTCTAAAAGTTACCCAACTTCAGACCAAAATGTTATATCGTTAAAAGTTGACTGGCAATATTTAAAAGTTGATGATTCTTTTCTGTTTCTTTGGGACAGGCTCTCACTACATAGTGCAGGATGGGCTGGGTTTACAGATGTGGCCACTCTGCCTGGCAGGGGTGGATTAATTCTTAAAAGAAAGACTATTACAAGGTAAAGATGGTTTAGATAACTAGAGAGTTAGTTACACATGTAGTTCAAAGTACTTCTTTTCTTTGAAGATAAAATTAACTCATTCTTTAGATGAATCCAGAAAAACCAAGTTTCTGTAACATAAAAAAATGTGAAAAATTCTAAATGTTTGGATGAGGCACAACTTAATTACTTTTCCTATCTCATTTTCTAACCACTTTTTTCATGTATATGGCATCATTTCTAAGGGCTTAGATTTTTGTAGGCCATCTATAAGATTGAGAATAGGACTTGTGTTTTGGGTTCTGTTTTATTAAAATTCTAATTGCCAAGGCTTATTATCATCAAGCTACTAGTAAAACAGTGTAAATGTGTTTCTCGAGACGAGGTATATAACTAGAGTAACACATATCCTGGTTTGACAAAGACAGTCTTGGGTCAAATAGTTAATTTAGCACTAAGTATAAAATTAATACTATTTTGAAATACCAGTGTCTTGGCATACATCTTAATATTGCCTCTTTTTACTCACAGGTCAGCCACTGAAAGTTATTGTATCAAACAACCAACGTGCATTTTTCAGATGGAAAAAAATTTCATAACAAACCAGTAAGAGAATAGCAATAGTTAATACATTGCACATTGTTACATTTAAAGTAGTTATTCAGAGTACAAAATATGGGCATTAAATTTTTCTCCAATCAATATTAGCACAAACCTTCCCTTTCAATAAAGTAATACACTAATAGTATATAACTGATTCTCTTTCTTTTTTCTTTTTTCCTGTTATTCTTTTCCCTCTCTTCCATCCTAGTTCCTCTTTGAACAGTTTCTTCCCATTTCACAATGTCTGTTATATGCTTTAGACTTTATTCACTCTTTCAGTTTCTCACACCAGGAAGACTGTGAAGTTTTACATGTGAGTCTTGCTTTATTTCACTTATGAGTATGCCCTCAAGTTGCATCCATTTACCTATAAAGGCTTACAGTATGTCCATCTTTACGGCTGAGTAGTACTCCATTGTGTAAAAATTCCACATTTTTTTATCCCTCAGTTGATGGGCATTTGAGGTGTTTCTAAGATTTAGCTAATACAAATTGAGCTACTATAAACATGGGTTTATAATAGCTTTATATGTGGATTGCTGTGGTATGGTATTTTTAATTCTTCTAGGAAGATACCAGAAGGTGACTAGCTAAGTTGAATGATAACCTCTAATCCTAGCTTTTTGAGGAATTTCTTTATTGATTTCCACAGTGGTTGCACCAGCTTACACTGCCACCAACAGTGGAAAAGAGTTCCTTTTCCCCTGCAGCCCCACCAGCATTTGTTATTGGTTGATTTCTTGATTATAGTCTTTCTTTCTGGAGTGAGATGGAATATCAGTGTTTTAATTTGCATTTCTCAAATGACCAATGACATTGAACATTTTTTCATATATTAGCTATTTGTATTTCTTCATCCAAATACTGTGTATGCATCTCAGATGCCCATTTTTGCATTGTCTTTGAATTTGGTGGGCAGTGGTTTCTGATATTTTTCAATTCTTTATATGTTTTAGATGTAAGTTTTGTCTGAGGGACAACTGGT